AATTCCAGAGAGGAAAGACCATTTTTCCCTGACAGGAAAGTCTTGGGGAGGAGTCTGATAGGCTTAGCCAAGGTCAGATGCCTACACCTGAGCCAACCACCTGCTCTGCTGGAGCTCAGTCCCTGGTGACTCATCCATCCTGGGGCCAGGGAGGAGGCAGGATGTCATTATCTGGCAGTTCTCCAAGAAAAGCCTGCTGTTTTTGCAAGATGAAAGTGGACAGGACATTGGATAAAGAAGACTGTATCTGTTTCTGTAATATCCACAGTCCTTACTCCCTGCCCTGCATCATGTGACCATGTAGTAAACTGACCCAGGAGGTCACTTTTCTCACCACCAGCCTCGATATATATGACTAAGGACCACACTGGTAAAAGAATATGGGAAAAGTCTTTGAGTACAGGAAATCAGCTAGATTGATGTTAACTGAAATAGCTGGGTGGAAATGTCCTTTAAAAGTTGCCCCAAACTCACTCAAAATCCAAAGTTGGATCTGGAAATACCATGTCATAGAAGTATGACAAGAACCGGTTCTGTCCCATCCTAAACTATGACACAGAGATTAGAGACTTCAACAAACCACATTTATTTAAAAGAAAATAATCAGATGAGAAAAATGAAGCCTAGAAAAATTAAGTGACTTACTCAGGGAAACACAGGTAATTAATGGCAGGATTGAGGCTACAGTATACATTGTGTAATCTGGGTATGGTCTTTTAAATCCATGACACAATTTATATATAAAAGAAATGCAGCATTTGTGATTTGTTAAACCCTAAATGTTTATGAAACTGAAGTAAAGACATCCATTATCTCAATTATTCTTGAAGACAAAAATGTCCAAAGACATCTTAATTGTACAGTATGTATACATAAGATACACGTGGCGGTATCTTCAAATATAGTATGTGCCTGTCTCTACTCCTTCCCTCTGTGCTCTTTTAAAAGATGCCCCTTTAAAAATTGCCCACTCACCATCTGTTAGGTAAATTTCCTGAAACACAGTAAATTTGGAGACAGAAATTGTCATAGAGACTATTCCAAATGGCACCGACACCTATATTTATGAATTTTTTTTAAAAAGTAAGTTACAGTTTTTTTTTAATTTCCCACTATAGTAACACCACATCATCCTAGGTGCCCAGTTCTATCCAATTACATAAGATAGAGAAAGAGAGAGGGAGAGGAGAGAAAGAAGAAAGGAAGAAAACTAGGTACTCATGTATAAATTGTTGCCACCAAAGTTTGAGAGTATATCCAAGTTTCAATGAACAGAAGGTAAACATCTGCAAATTGACAAATGTATTTCCATTTATGGTACAAGGTCCACAGGTTGACATTTGCAATATGCTCCCACAAGGGTCAAGTTGACCACTTTTTCTATCTAGCTGCTCTTGAGAGAACAAAACAATTGAAACAGATTCCATTCAATTCCAAGTCTATAGTTTAGACCATGTCACTGCACATGAAATATTGTTCATTCAGAGTCAGGACGTAGCAAGAGTAATTTATACTCTCAGAGTGTTTGCTCTCAAGTCAATAGCAGAGAAGCCTTGAATAAAGACGTTCCCATTACTTTCCACTATAATATATCTTACTTATAGCCCATGAAACTGTGGTCAAGGGAGATTTATTCTTTGGACACCATATTATATAAGCTCTCCACTTTAAGCAATCCCTACTCAGTGATTAGTTTTTAAATATGTTACTCATGGTCAATATTAATTTACATTTAATCTTTCTTAGCATTAGGAGAGTATTATTTTGTACAGGCTCAGAAACAAATCTCCAGAAATTCCTCCCTGATGCTTCTTTGAGGCTGAAAATGCATTGCAGGGCGGTTGCAGTGACTTAATTCTAGTTGGCAGAGCCCTGGCCACATACTAATTTCATTAGCCTCAAATTCCTGGATTCGAAAGATCCCCTGGATATGATTCCTGTCCTCTGACATGTCACTGACTAACCAGTTCAGTGTGCATATAGAGGACAGGGAGAAAGACTTGAATAGATCCTGTCTTTGCTCTCCACCAGCAGACAGATAAGAACTCAAAGTCATAGACCCTATTTACATCTGAGGAGTCATTCTTGCCCCGGTCCTAATTTTCAGGAAAGAACTTCATTCCAGGCTTTGCTGGCAGCGGTGGCATTTGTTACATCTATTACTATCTCATTACTCCCTCCTGCCCCCCAGTGCTTAGCATCCCTCATTTAAGTCACTAAGTATTCCTTCCCTCAAGCCTAGACAGACGTTTATCTCACCATAAATTTATATCTCAAATGATACGTTTGGCATGGTCCCCACAGCAACCCACAGGGCCAGGGAGAAGAAAACTCAAATCTCTGGACAGCTAAGAATTCAATCATTTAGAGGAGTTTCTTTTATATAGGGCAATCTTAGTTGAGTTGAACCCTGCAACCCCAGAGAAGATTCACCTGCCGTTCTTTTCCTCTCTCCCTAAATTGTGCCTTTGAACAATGGGTCTGTGTTCCACTATTCCCTCTATTCATTTTGCATACTTACAGAGTCTAGGAAACTGGGGATTGGACTCACATGCCAGGTGCTTCTAAGATCACATGCAAAAAAAGGCTATTGGAAGAGATGGTTGGAATCTATCTCTATACAGTCCAGCACAAGCAACGGTTAACCAGCATGCCCACACCACGGGTTATATCCAGCTTGCAGCACAAGCTACAAGTTGGTGCATTCCTCCCACTACCAGCCTCTTCTCAATAAAGGCAGGTGAAAACTGGGGGTTCTTTTTCCCTCAGCTGTTCAATCCAACATGAATAGCTGCAATTTGCAAATTAGAGGAAAATGACAGTGTTTTCTGTGAATGGTTTTGGTCCCAACCCACACGGCTAACACTGGCATTCAGTTCCTTTCCTTTCCAACCCAGGGAATGGGGGAACTAAGCATAAGGCAAGCGTCTTCTTTCCTTGCAAGTGGCTCAGGTCCACACGCCAGAGAAGCAATCAGCTCCCCCTGGAATCTTTTCCAGCAAACACAATCCTCCAGCCTAGTCTGCGATCTCTCTCTTGACTTTTAAGATTTCGCTCTTTTTTAGGCAGGCAGGCAGGCCCATCTGCAGTGCTGCCCAAGCTCTGAGTGAAAAGAGAAACAGGCAGCAAAATAATTAAGAAATGGGAAACAGCACATGTGCCTTCAACCCCCAGGCTCCAGAGAAAATGCTGTGAGTTACCCAGTGGTTCTCAGGTGACCTCTGGCCTCATCCCTGCCTGCAGCACTGCCTCCTCAAGTTGTCCAGTTCTCAACTCAGAGGTAAAGGAAGTGCTTCTGGGTTTTGCTTACAACCCAGGCTCTTCCTGAAAGCATCAACTCAAGGTGAAGGCTGCCCTCAAAGCACTTTTGGGTTTGCAAACATCGAGAGCTCTCCATGATGGCATACTCAGGAGGTGTAAGGGATGATCAGAGGATCACAGGGGCCATACCAGACTGCCGCCTCACAAACACAAACTTCACACTGCTGGGAGCTGATGCGGTGACAGCTTGAATCTCATAAGGGGTCCCCTCCAGAAACCCAGCACCATTAGGGAAAGCACTGGAGAGGGAGCCAACTCTCTAGATGGGGGAGCATAAGGCCACAGGGCCAGCCAAACATCTGGAGAAGGGATTAATTGACTTTGGGTGCTCCCAGGCAGGGAGAGAGCTATGCATTAGGAAAGGATCAAACAAAATCAGTTGAACAAAAAACTTGGAGGTAGGGGTAAAAGAGGAGGAGAGGCAGAAATCAAAAAGGAGAAAATAAAAATAGTGGGAAAACATCAGGGAGAAAGAGACAGGAGGAAAGAAAGAGATACAAAGGGGGAAACACAGAGGAACAAGGAGAAGGGAACCCACAGTCACGCTGACCCTGAAAACTCAATTTCTCAATCCAAAAGCCATCCATTTATACCCAATGCAGCACAGGAGCCGTGGGGCTGAGGCTGCGGGCGCAGGCGGTGAGAGAGCACTGCAGTAGAACCCACCGCTCAGCTACCCCGATCTGCCTTCCTCCCATTTTCTCCGTTGCCCTCCTGCGCCCGGAGCAGGAGGACCGCCGGGCCTTAGCGCACCCCATTGCCTCTTTCCAGGAGCCTTCTTGCCTGGCTCCGGGGATCGTCCTAAAGGCCCAGGATTAGGGTTGTGGGGGATGCGCTAGGGAGGTCGTGGGAAAGGATGGGCGGAGGGAGGAGGCAGAGAAAGCGATTTTGTCTCGCAGTTAGCATGAGCTCATCTCTGCGCTCTGAAGTGGCAGGAGTAGAAAGCTGATCGCCCAGCTCCTGCCAGTGGCCGGATTGCAAATGCAATTTAGACGGTGCAAACAACTGCCCAGAGGAAATCACCTGGGGGTCAGGTCTGCGGGTGGCATCCCCACGTAGGGAGCGTCCCCTTGCCTTCTGCCCCATGCCTTCGCAGAGACAGGCCACAGGTCGGGAAATCCAACCAGGGAGAAATGGGCAATTAACATCCAAGTGTTGGTGAAGACCTAACCCTCCGTTTAAGTAGCGCCTTCCTAAGCTCTTCTCGAAATTTTCCAAGGGAGCTGTGGCTCGCCGGGCGGCTTGGGACTGGAAGCTGGGGAGTTGAGAAATGCCCAGTTTCAAGGCGTCTTCTCATCTTTTGCATGCTTTGCGCCCAACCGGCTCTCACAGGAGCCCGGCACTTTTACAAGCCTGTTTTTGGACCATATTTCACTCTAATGCAAACCCATTTAAATCATCGCCTTGTTTTTCGCAGATTGCTTCTTGTAAATGGGGCCATAAATCCAAGATGTCAAGCCGGATGGAGTGGAGCGCGGACAAGGGAGAGATGGAAGGGAAATGAACCAAGCAGGGAAAAGTACCTCCTCGAGTGGGATGGGAGGGATTCGGCAGGATCTCCAGGGTGGAAATGAGCGAAGGCTGACCTGACCCTGCACCCGTGGAGTCCAAGCCAGCTTTTAGGATCAAGAGCGTAGGGAGCTACGGCGCGCTCTGCCCCGCAGGGAGCGCCCCCCTACCTGGAAAAGCCTCAGGATGTTGGCTACCATGATGGAGACCGAACTCCCCGAAGCCCCAATCACTCCAACTACTTTCTCCGGCTTGACGAAAACCGGAGGCTCGCCGTTGGTGCAGCGCACGTCGGAGGTGTCTTTCTGGATGAGCGCCTGGACGAAAGTGAGCGACTGTTCGAGCGCATAAGTGTCCCTGGAACAAGTGTCCAGGATCCGCGCGCCCAGCGTCACGTTGGGCAGCAGGTTGGGATCGCTGTTGATCTGGTCCAGCGCGTAGAGCATCGCTTCCAGCCTGTGGATCCCATTCTCCCTCTTGATGTCGCCGCAGGGCACTCCGCTGGGACCCTTCGCGTGCACCGGGAACAGCCCCCCGAGGGTGACGTCCCCCTCGATCCGGATGGAGTGCGGGGCGTACATCTCCTGGCCGCGCGCCGCCGCCGCCAGCGCGCACAGGAGCACCTCGAGCACGCAGCAGGGGAACTTCATCAAAGTCAGGACGCGGAGCAGCTTTCCCAGCTGGACCATGCTGCTCCGGCTGCTGCGGTGGTGGCGGCGGCGCTGGAGAGAACGGTGGCGGGCTCGCAGGGGTCCGGGTCCCTAGAGGTGAGCTCCTCGGGGGAAGCCCAGGAGCTCCCGCAAGCGTGTAGGGTGGAGGCGCCCGGGGAGGGGCAGCCAGAGAGGGTGGGGGGTCCCACGGCGCCTGCCAGCTTGGGGCACCGTGCGCTCTCGGGTTTCCCGGCCGGCGTGCCGCGCTCTCGCTCCGTCGCTTGCAGCTCGCGCTCTCCAATAGCCCAGCACTGGGGAGAGGGCACGGATTGCTATCGCTTTAAATGGTCGTTCGGCTCCCTCTCCTCCTCCTACTCCCTCCCACCCTCCCTCGCTCTCTGGCTCTCCCCACCCTTCTCAGCGCCCGCCCTCCCCACTGGTTTGCATCATCACGCAGGGAGGGGCTGCGTGCTGAGGTAAAGGGTGGCGGGGGGAATGGGTGGGCGGCTGAGGAGGGAGGGGGGCGGAGTGCCTCGGACTGGGAGTTTCGCGTTCCCCAGGGAACCTGGGGATTGCAGGTCTCAGGCGAGGGCTGAGCTGCTCCCGTCTCAGTGGAGAAGCCTCTGGTTAGGTCGCCTGCACCCACATGCACATGCTAGGCACGGATGGCATCAGCCCCGGGATAGGCTGGTGATGTCTGGGGTTGACTGTTTCCAACCTTGAGGACCTGAACCGGGGCTGTCAGCTCGGGGATTGTGAGGCAGTCGCAAAGTGACGCCGCCAAGGATGAAGTGAAGTAGGGAGACCCCAGTCTCTAATCCGTCTGTGCCAGTTTTTCCTAAGAAAAATATACAAACGCACGGAACCTGATTTACGACGACTTAAACAACCTTTACCTAGAGACTTCTCTAGGCCAAGGCACTAGGCTAGCCTGTAGAGAAAGACGCCAACAAGAAACGTTAGGAATGAAAATGCATCCTTGGTCTTCATTGGTTACTGCAGCTGGAGCCGGATGAACTAACTGTGGTCTCCAGCAGATCTGCGGCGGTTTCGCTCTTTTTCTTCCTTTCATCGCAAGAGATGGAAACAACTGAGAACTCTGCAGAGCACACTTTCTTCTCTGGCGCAGACAGGTGTAAGGCTCCCTCCTCCCCATTTCCAGACATGCTTCTGGGCTACTGGCAGGTTTTCTCTCGGGCAAGAAACAGCAAGGAAGAGGTGACAGCAGGAGAAAGAAAGAGGGGCAAATAGAAATCTCCCCATCGATCTAGGATGTCATTCTCTTCTATTTCTGGCTGAAGATTTGGGGAGGGATCAGGATACCAGAGCAGGGTGCAGTGCAGTTAGGAAGCTGTTTTTCAAAGATGTCCCTTCCTGCAGGTCCAGCGCAAACTTGGCACATTAAAGCAACAAGTGGCCCTAATTCATACAGTAGTAAGGGTAGTGTCTCTGTCCTTGGTACCCAAGTGTACTCCTGATGGTGAACTCAACTCTTGCTGAGTCCTTCTGTTGGAGTGCAGCAAGACCGTCTTAGTCATAATCGAGGGTGGAGAAAAAGAGAAACAAGACATAGTTTTTGTTGTTGATATTCATGTACTACAGAAAAAACTCTCCTTGTACAAAAAAAAAAGCAAAACAATACACACGTAGACACACACACAAACCTAAAAAGTCAGAAGATGGGTAGTTGCTTGTCTCTTCCACCAACCACCTGGGTTACCTTGATATGTCTGTTCCTGTGTCTGGGTTTTAGTTTTCCCACTAATAAAATGATGAAAGTGAATTGGATTTTCTACAAGTTATCTTTTAACTCTCACACACTCTGTTAAAATAGGCCATCCCCCTTTGGCCATGGTTTTCTTTTTAGGCCAATATCCTCTGTTGCTTTATGTGTAGGGTACCAGGTTTTTGATATTCAAAGACAATTACAGACATTTCTTGGTATAGATGACTTTTTTTTTCTTGTTCTCTATCGATTTATCTTCCTTCTAGGGACAGTCTGGTCCATCAATTTATTTTGATATGCCACTCTCCCAACCCAGGTTTCAATATTCACGGTTTGAGGAGAACAGACCCCACTTCCTATAATTCAGGCCTGGCTAGTCAGAGCATGGTATGCTTCTGACTTTGGTAATGAGTTCAAGGATGGGAACAGAGCCCAACCAGAGTCATGCAGGGCTAATCCCTGGACTTATGCTGGAGTAACTATGGTAGTGACACAGGATTACCACTGTCCAATAGACAGACTGTGCTGGAGTTAAAAGAAAAAGGAACCCTCTCCCTTCCTCAAAACATTTTATATATATCTTTTGGACAATTTGTTACATTGTTTGATTTTGTAAAACCATAACCTTTTACTGCCATCTTCAAGAAAACAGTGCTGCAATTAATACACAGATCTACCCCTGTATACAATGTGATTGTCAATCACTCTCAGATGTGATGCCCTGCTACATACATGCACATCTTGTACAACCCTATGCTGTGACAGCCCTGCTCCTTCCCACCAGCCCCAGAGCTATGAGGGTATAAGCTGTAGCTGTGCCAGAGCTTCCACATAAACAGGGAAGATAGTTGAGTCTCATAATAAGAGATACCAAAGAGGAGAAAAGGAAGAGAGAAGAATGAGTGGGTAAGAGACAGATAGGAGCCTTATTAAAGCATGTGAACTCCTGGGTCCACACTTGCCTGAAAGATTGCCTCTGTTTTTCTTTTTTTTTCAATTATGTAGTATTTTCTTTCTGTTGTTTGAAGTCAAAAGGATCATCTTGTAATTCACCTGTTCTACTACACAGGCCCAAAAAGGGTGGAACCAATGAAATAAGTATCGTGTTAATGTGGCATCAGCTAAGAAGGAAAGAACCAAACAAAGCAACAGAAAGGCATACACTAGGGAACACAAATACGATGATCCTAGTATTTAGGCATCAGTCCATTAGGATATATTTGACAGAGGCTATAAGCTTATTTAATTCTTAATATAAGGCAATTTATTAGGAACTTGGTGCCAAAAAGTCATTTGAAGAGTTGAGTTAAAAGTAACGTCACTTGAATTTTCACCTGCCCATGTGACGATCTATGTTCTACTCTTCCATTTCCACTTCACGTCTTGTGATGGCTCAATAGTTCCTGGCTGACTACTGAATGTTGCCTTATTCTGTGTTCTCTCTCTGCTCTGCTCATTCTCCCCAAACATCTGGCAACAATCATTATCTTCTTTTTATTGCAGTCATCTGTGTGCATGTTTTATTTCACTTGCCAAGTTGTAAGATCCTTGAGGGTATGGGCTGGGTATTATTTATCTTTTTATCCTGGACAATGTTTAAAATGGTATTTTGTACCTAAGAAGCACTCATGTGTTGAATGAATCAGAACTGGTTTTGCCATTTCCCACTGCCTTTATTTCACAGTGACAGAAAACAAAGTGAGCAGAGCAGAAGGATGGCAGATAAACTGCTGTCCTCTTCGTCACAGTACACAGTTTCTAAAATTTAAAGGATTATTAGTAGATTTTGAAATACTTTTATTTTACAAAAACTGTTTAAGCTGGAAATACTCTAACCTTAACGCTCCTAATCAACTCTAAAGGAAGGCCTTAAGAGGTCAAGGGTTTATACCTGGACCGGTAATGGGCCATTGCCATAGACTGGTTGAGGAAGGTCAGGCGTCAGGCACTAGCACCACCTGCACCGAACAGAAAGCATGATGTGTTACCAGAGAAACAGGAAAGTGATGTTGAGCTTGCAAAAATCTTTATATCTTCAGCCACAATGCATTGGATCTGGAACTTAATAGGTAACACAGTATTTTTTTTTAGATTATATGAATGGAAAAATCTTTGTGTAAGAGGGATTAATCTAAAACTAGGTCAGTCATTGTTCTAGTGTCACATTAAATTGGAGGAGAATCTAGTTTTAGGCACAAAGATCATACATTATAAAACGTGTTCAGAGGCTTAGTTCTGTGTAGTCATTAATCTCTCCTCATCGAAGGATTAATAAAAATATATAACTAAAGTTAAGGACTCAGTCCTAATTTATATTCTTAGCATTGTGTTTTGTTAATCATCTCAGTTTTATTTATTTTATTTGTTGTTCCCCCCTGCTCACCATCCTCTGCAGAAAATAATGTCTTCTCCACTTTCAATTCCCTCTCTATTTGAATCCAATGTGTAGTTTACAAAGTTATCTTTGTAGGGCTGAGACTCCTGCTACTGCTGCCAATGTACTTGGGTTATTCTTTCATTCTTCCATCCTTCATGTAGGCCTCCATCCATAGCTTTTTTTTTTTTTTTAACACAGTCTTACATTTGTATTGCACTACTGAATGGAGGTCACTTGTTTCTTTAAGAGGGAAAGAAAGAGAAAATAATACTCTGTTTCATCTGTTATACTTTGCTGTCATATTTATTTGTAGTAAATGTCTTCTGTCACTTAATCCAATATCTATTTCCTGATTCCATCTTGCTAAGGAGCTCTTATTTTGCACACTCCCTAAGTTGGTAGGGGCTGAAATGTTCCTGCTGTTCCTTTGGTAACATCACAAGCCATTCCTTTTGGAAAGAACCCCTCTCAGTCTCCAGGAGCTGAGATGGAGCTGTCAACATTAATGCTGCACCTATCCAAACCCAGGTGTGGGCACACATCTAGCACTGGCAAAACTGATCAAGCTGACCTGCACATACCGAATGTCTGCCCAAACAAACTTTGACACTTTTTAAAGAAGAACAGTGAATTGAAGACACTTAACCACGTTACCTTTACACTGTATGGAATCCAATAAGAATTCTAAGGCACATGAATAGGCAGGAGAAAAACTAGTCAATAAAAACAGATCTAGAAATGACAGGTTTTAAAATCAGCACAAACACAAAATAAACAGTCTGACAGAACTCTAAAATAACCCCCATGATTATACTATATTACATAGTAAAAGGGATTTTTCAGATACAATTAAAGGTTATTAATCAGTTCACTGTGAGAGAGATTATCCTGGTGGGCCTAACCTAATCACGTAAGTCCCTGAAATAAGACTTTTCTTTGGCTAGTTGCAAAGAGTAAGAGAGATTTTAAGTGTGAAAGGGATTTGGCAGGAATGAGGTTCTCTATTGCTGAG